CGGAGCTGGAGGTGGCAGAACTAAAGATGCTAAGATTGTCTTTAGGAGTGACAAGAATGGACAGGATCAGGAATGAGGTCATTAGAGGGACAACACAGACAGGAAGGTTAGGAGAAAAAGCTAGAGAAGCCAGATTGAGATGGTTTGGACATGGTGCAGAGGAGGGACAGTGGTAGAAGAATGTTAGAGATGGAGCTACCAGGTAGGAGACAGAGAGGAGATATATGGATGCAGTGAGGGAGGACATGCAGATAATTGGAGTCAGAGTAGTAGATGCATGAAAATCCCTGAAAAAATGGACAAAGCCAAAAGAAAATAACACTAGGTGTTTGGTTAAAAAGGTTGTAACAATAATGGCATTTTTCTTTTCTTTTTTAATAACACTGATTACATATAGTGATATATTTCTTTTGTGTATTGTTCTGTCTAATTAAAGACAAACAGGAGATGCAGTGCCGTCAGCAGATGGCTGGACTAGATAAAGTTATTAGTGACCTGGACAAACAGGAAAAGGCCATTTATACTCGGGTGCGTCCACCACTGGAGTCAGCCCGCCCATTTCAGGACAGTGCTGACCGCCTGCAGGACATGAAGGTGTGTTTTTCACTTCAGTCAAACAAGCCCCAAAAAAACTACATGTGTATACGTTTGTGTTTAAAACGCTGAATGTTGTGTGTCACCTTTAAAGGATATCAGTGCAGCTCTTTACAAGATCGAGCCAGAGAAATCCTCCAAAGTGCAGGAGGCAAAGAGTTTCTTGGTCTCAAACCCAAATTGTACGAGTGCTTCTCAGCTTCACAGCAAAGTAGACGAAGCAAATAAGAAGTACAACAAAGTTGAAGACCTCCTTCAGTGTTCGCAGGAGAAGTAAGGCACTGAATTTTTTTTTTTTAATCTCAGTTTGATACTATTGAACTTTCATAATGATGTCAGCTTTAGTTTTTGCATTAAAAAGTGTATAGGACATGGCTTAAAATGCTTTTATTCTACTTTGTTCCTTATGTTTATTTTATCTCAGATTGAAGAATTCCAACCAGCTGGAGACATCACTTAATAATGGGAAAACGTTTCTATCTTCATATGAGAACAAATTGGCCAGGGAGGAGGTTGCTCCAGCTGACATTTCTTCATTGGAGAAAACACAACGGGAGCTTGCAGTAAGCACTAAAAAGCACTATTACATACCCAAAGTGCAACATATTTGCCTTTGGCAAATATTACATACCCAAAGTGCAACATATTTGTTAGTCACAGTGGGGTTTTTTTTTTCAAAAATAACTTTCCAGTTTTATCTCTTTTATTCAGGATGTTGCTTCAGACCTAAGATCCAACAGGTCTGTGATTTCTGAACTGGAGCAGAACCTGCGCTCTTCAAAAAGCAGCTGCAGCAACATGGCTGCCAAATTCCAGGAGCATTGCCCAGACATTGACAGGCAGGAAGCTGATGTACAGAAACTGAGCAAGCGCTTCAGCAACCTCAACAGGCAGACTGACACCAGGTTAGTGGGTCAAAATAAGAAGGGACGAGAAGGTTTTTGCTGCAATCAACATGAAACATCAGTATGAAACCAATCAATTTGTTTTGGCGTTTCTTGCAGATCTCAAAGCTTGCAGAGAGCCAAGATGGCATACAAAAATTATCGAAATGATTATGACAATCTAAACAGCTGGTTGTCGCGTGTCCCCAATTACGAACCAAGGGAAACTGATGACATAAGACAAGTGGAGACCAAGCTTAAAAATCAAAGGGTGCGTGTAATGCAACAGTGCAAAAAAAATATATACAAACTAAAAATACATACAAAATGTGACATAAAAATAAATAGGTTTGGTGGAAATTGGTTCGGTGTAATGCAACAGTGCAAAAAATAAAAATAAAAAAATAGATACAAAATGTGACATTGTTAATAAATAGGTTTGGTGGAAATTGGTTCTGAAATGTTTTTTTGTTTGATGTTTTATAGAATTTGCTTTCTGATATTGCAAGAAAAGAGTCTGACCTCAACAATGTTTCAAAAAATGCCCAGCTCTACCAACAAGCAGTCAAAGTAAGTTTTCCTGTCACCTACCACCATAGCAAAGTTCTTGTAGCTAAAGAGAAAATAATTAGCAAGATTAATGATATCACTGATGTTTCTTTTAAGGACTATGAGAATGAAACTGAAAAATTCAGGTCCATCCTTGACTTGGAAGATGGACTTGTTCCTCAGACATACAAGAGAAGCAGACTTGAATCTCCTGCAAATATAGTCAAAGCAGAGGTAAGATGTACTACAGAATTTGTTTTCAAGGCAGAAAATGTCAATTACATTACCGTGACAATTTGTTTTTTTGTTTTTTTTAAACTGCTCTGCACAACAGTTAGTTGGTTCAAATGGTTCAGGTTTGATGCTATGCTACAAGATTACCTAATTTTTTTTCAAGGAAAAATATTATTTAACACCAACTTCCTCTGTGTGTAATTGGGTAGTTGACCTGTCTAAAGATTTGTAAGAATGCAGAAAATGTATGAAATGTTTTTACGATGCACATGTGATTTAGTTGGTTTTGTGATTTCATTATTATGAGAATCAATTTATTGCACTTTTTTGTTAACAGGAAGCTGCAATTGAAGCTAAATTTACAGAGGTAAATGCTGTGAATACCCAGCGTTTGCAGAATCTGGAGTATGCAGACAGCATTCTCAGACAGGTAAATATTTTTATTTTTATTGTTGATAAGACAGAATGTTATCAACTTCAGTAACACACAATATATAATCAAATGATCAAATGACTTAACCTGATAACCAAGTCGATTTATTTAATTTGATAGCAACCGGAGGTGTCTGTAATCCAGGCCACAAATGTCAAATCCGTCCATGCTGCCCCAGGTGGAGAGCCTTGGAGAGTCAAGAAACAACTGGACGATGAAGTCCAGAGGAGGGAGCAACTACAAAGAGAAATTGAAATGATACAGACCGACATCTATGTCCTCGAAGGGCAGAAGCCCCAGGACACAATTGTCAAGAAGGAGTTAATCAAGAAGGTTGCCGATCCCCAGCTGGATGAGGAGATTCACAAAGTGCAGCAGAAGCTATCTGAGGAGCGACGCACAACCCATGTTCTAGAGAATGACCTCGAGGTACTCAAGCTGAAGTTGCGTGGTCTTGAAACAGAAGTGAAAGAAGGAGCACAGCAATACACCGTGAAAGAAGTCCTGCGTATTGAAAGAGATCGTGGTCAAGAGGATGAAATGCGCAAGCTTCGAGAGGAACTTGATGAGCTAAGAAGGCAGAAAATGATCAAAGACAACGAGCTGGTAGAGATACAAAAGCAGGTCACTATTCTGGCGGAGGAAAAGAGCAAGGAGCAAGAGGTTATTACCGAGGAGGAGGTGATCAAGGTTCAGAATGACCCCCAGCTTGAGACAGAATACAGAGTTCTCTTTGACAGAAAGCAGAAGGAGATGGATGGCAGGAAGCAGCTGGAGGATGAACTGCAATTTCTTCAAGAGAAGCTACGAAGGCTGGAAAAGGAAAAAGCCATGGCAGAGGAGAAAGTGTCCATCAAGGAGGTATTGAAAGTTGAAAAAGATATGGCCTTTCAAAGGGAGGTAGAAAATCTTCGGCGACAGTACGAAGATGAGAAGACCAAACGAAGATCATCACAACGTGAAAAAACTGACCTCCAGAGGAAAATTGCAAGTCTTGAAGAGGAGAAGTCTAAGGTGATTATTCAGGAGAAAGTACGAGAGATTCTCCGCCCTGACCCAAAAGCCGAGAATGAAGTAGCTAACTTGCGGCTTGAACTTGTGGAGCAACAAAGGCGCTTCAAAGATTCAGAAATTCAGTATAGATCTCTCCAGGATGAACTGGTAATGTTGAAGAACAGAGGGCCACTAGTGGAGGTTAAAGAGATGATAAAAGAAGTTATCAAATACAAGACAGACCCTGAGACTGAAAGAGAACTGGAAAGACTTCGCAATGAAATAGTAGACAAAACACACCAGACCGAGAAATCTGAAATGGAAATACGCCAGCTGAATGATGAAATCCAAAGATGGAAGAACACTAAACCACAAGTGCAGACCAAAGAGGTAGTAAATGAAGTGTTGCAGTACAGAGAAGACCCTAAGACTAAGGAAGAAATTGAGATTCTCAAAAGAAAACTAGCTGATGAACAGGAGAAACGCCTGGAACTTGAGAGAGAACGATCAGCCCAAGAGGAGAAGATAAGACTCAGGAAGATCGATCTTTCGCAGGTGCGTCAGAAGATTGTTCAGCAAGAAGTGGTTAAAGTTGAGGAAGACCCTCTCCTTAGGTCAGAGTGCGACACCTTTTCACTCAACATTAGTAACGAGCAGAAACAAAAGGAGACCCTGAGAAATGAGCTCCACCAACTTCAGAGACTGAAGTCTGACCTGGATTTACAACTAGAAGAACTGGAGCGTGAGCGCAAGTCGAGGCGTGATGCAGAAATCGAAATTCAGAGACTTCGCATCAGACTTACTGAATTGGAGATGCTGGACAAAGAGAACCGCGAGAAGGTGACTGTTAAACAGAAGGTTGTCCTGCAGCAAGATCCGCAACAGGAAAAAGAACACTGTATTCTTAAACTGCAGCTGGACGAAGAGAAACACAAGCGTATCTTACTGGAGAAGGAGCTGAACGCTCTCATTCAACAGCAACTCACCCTGGAGAAAATAGATGTAAAAGAAAGAGTTGTCCGCACCGAAAAGGTTCAAGTTGAGAGGGACCCAGAGGCTGAACTTGAGATTGAGAACCTAAAAAGAACACTGGAAGAAGAAAAGAGGAGAAAACGAGATCTCGACCTGGAACTGTCATCCATCACCTCCAAGCTCTCTGACATGGAATTTACCAACACTAAGTCAACTAAAGAATTAGATTATATACGTGACGAAAGCAGCCGCATGCAGCAAGAAAACCAAAGGCTGCAAAACGAGATACGCAAGCTTCGGTCAGAGATCGAGATCACTAGCAAAGAGACTCGTCTTATCACAGAGTCTGCGCCACGAGAAGAAGGAAGAAACCTGGAAATGAGACTTGACTCACTGCAGAGAGAACTTGTTGATTTAAGAGGTGTGACCACTCAGAAGGATGAAGAAATCGAAAGGCTCCAAAAGAACCTGTCAGCTGTAAGAATGAAGCGGGAGCAAAGAGAGAGTCATCTGCGCAGATCCATTGCTGTCATCGACCCAGATACAGGAAAAGAAATGCGACCTGAAGAGGCATTCAAGCTCGGCCTGATCGATTGGAAAATGTTTGTTAACCTACAGAGCCAGGAATGTGACTGGGAAGAGATTACAGTTAAGGGCCCAAAGGGGGAATCTTCAGTTCTCCATGACAGAAAATCTGGAAAAAAGTTCTCCATCGATGATGCTCTGCGCCTTGGCCACATTACAAACCATCAACTTCAGCAATACATTAATAAAGAAATCTCCATTCAGGAATTTGGTATCATGGTGTCGGGGAAGAACCGATAAAGCCATATGTTTTAAGAAAAGGCATTTTGTTTGAAAATGCTAAGCCCTATCATTTGGTCAAATGCCTGTTGCTTTCTATTCTATATCTTCCAAGTTTTTAGTTTATCATAAGTTTTCTTTTATCTCACCATGGATAGAGCTTGGAGACATATCGTAAAAAAAACCTTCATATAATTATTAAATCAATGTTTTATATAATACTGTGGGTAACAATATTTAAGCTAAACTTTAATTTCTTTGATCGGTATGAGGTTTTTAAATAGCTTTGAATTGCTGTCATTGCTGAAATAAAATTTAAAAAAATCTTGATGATTTATTTGTGACTCTTCCAGGTATGTCAGATATGTGCAATAAAAGTTGAATCAAGAAGTGTGTGCATTCTTTTTCATCAAAAGAAAAGTTTAGTTTCGATTATTTTATTTCTTTATTTATTAAATAAAGGGAGGAAAAATGAAAAAATAAAAACACGCTGGGCCTTTGCAGATTTTGTGTTTGAGGTATATATATATATATACACTATATTACCAAAAGTATTCGCTCACCCATTCAAATGATCAGAATCAGGTGTCCTAATCCCTTGGCCTGGCCACAGGTGTATAAAATCAAGCAAGTCGCCGACTTTCTCGCGTTCTTTGGAGTGATGAATCACGCTTTTCCATCTGGCAATCTGATGGACGAGTCTGGGTTTGGAGGTTGCCAGGAGAACGGTACATTTCAGACTGCATTGTGCCGACTGTGAAATTTGGTGGAGGAGGAATTATGGTGTGGGGTTGTTTTTCAGGAGCTGGGCTTGGCCCCTTAGTTCCAGTGAAAGGAACTTTGAATGCTTCAGGATACCAAAACATTTCGGACAATTCCATGCTCCCAACCTTGTGGGAACAGTTTGGAGCAGGCCCCTTCCTCTTCCAACATGACTGTGCACCAGTGCACAAAGCAAGGTCCATAAAGACATGGATGACAGAGTCTGGTGTGGATGAACTTGACTGGCCTGCACAGAGTCCTGACCTGAACCCGATAGAACACCTTTGGGATGAATTAGAGCGGAGACTGAGAGCCAGGCCTTCTCGACCAACATCAGTGTGTGACCTCACCAATGCGCTTTTGGAAGAATGGTCAAAAATTCCTATAAACACTCTCCTCAACCTTGTGGACAGTCTTCCCAGAAGAGTTGAAGCTGTAATAGCTGCAAAAGGTGGACCGACATCATATTGAACTCTGGGTTAGGAATGGGATGGCACTTCAGTTCATAGTATGAGTCTTTTATTCCTGGATCCTAATAATACCCCTCATCAAATTACCTTTTTGGTCGGTATTTCCGGATTCCACCTGTTTTTGTAACTCTAGAAGTTACTCTGCCTCCATTATCGTCATGTCTATTCTGATGTCTTACCACTTTAATATAATTCTGGGGAACCCGGGAAAATTGTTGGATAGTATTATCCAGAGGTGGGACCAAGTCATTGCTTTGCAAGTCACAAGTAAGTCTCAAGTCTTTGCACTCAAGTCCGAGTCGAGTCCAAGTCAAGTCTGACAAGTGTCAAGTCAAGTCCCAAGTCCTTACGTTTCTGTTTCGAGTCCTTTTAAACAAAATAATAATATATGTACACAGATACACTTAGGGTTTTGGAGAAAGTATCAAGTCTTGGCGAGTCAAAAGGGCTCAAGGCCAAGTGAAGTCACGAGTCGTTGATGTTAAAGTCCAAGTCGAGTTGCAAGTCTCTTTACATTTTGTCAAGTCGAGTCTAAAAGTCATCAAATTGATGACTCGAGTCTGACTCGAGTCCAAGTCATGCGACTCGAGTCCACACCTCTGGTATTATCTCAGTATTATCTCTCAGATTTTGCTTTTGTCAAAGAATGCGCCCTTTGGAGCAATTGCAGCATTGCAAACTTTTGGCATTGTAGCTGAAGAAATTCTAACCCCATGCCTCCTTGACGTACTTCTGACAACTTGGATTGACTCGGTGGGCAATTCTGGCGTGCCATGGAGTCACATTGCTACCACAACAACTCAATGGGGTTAAGATCTGCTGACTGCGCTGGCCACTCCATTACATCTTCCTCTGTCCAATGTTCTTTTGGCATTATCAATCTTTTCTTTTTTATTGGCCAGTCTTAGAAATGGCTTTTTCTTTGGCGTTCTTGGTGTTTTGCGGGTGTCATTTAATGAAGCTGCCAGTTGAGGACCTGTTAGGTGCCTATTTCTCAAACTAAAGGCCTGTCGTCTTGCTTAGTTGTGCACTAGCCCTACGTTGTGCTGATCTCTGAAGGGAGTAGAAATCTTAAGTTTCTTGGCTATTTCTTGCACAGAATAGCTTGAATTTCTAAGAACAACAGTAGACTGTTGAGTTTCCCATTAAAGTTCTGCTTTACTGGCCATTTCAAGAGAATAATCAAACCCACAAATGGGATACTCCAGATACTCAACTTGCTCACAGGAGGACCAATTTTATAGTTTATCTAACCAGCTTCTCTTTTCAGCTGTGCTAACATAATTGTACACTTTAAATAGCCTTTTCATGCAATTAGCAAACTCAGTGTACCATTAAAACACTGGAGTGACGGTTGCTAGAATTAGGCCCCCATACACCATATACACCATCGAATAAGATATACCATTAAAAACCAGATGTTTGCAGCTAAAATAGTTATTTACCACATTAACAATGTATATAGTGTATTTCTGATTAATTTAATGTTATCTTCCTTCAAAAATAAGGACATTTCTAAGTGGACCCCAACCGTTTGAATGGAAGTGTAGCTGATGGTTAACTGAGCTGTACACACACCGCACAGGTTACATTCAAAATCTGTCACATTTTCTTGATTGGACATTGATATTGTGACTGTTCTAAGCACTGAAGCATGTAACAGTGGAACTCTAAACGTTCTAGATCAGTGTTTATCGAGTATTTTCTGCTATGCCCCTCCCTAGGGATTACTTACAGCATACATTTTCCCATACGCTGCAATTAGTCCTGCGATAAATACCAATATTTTCCGGTCTATAAACCGTTACTTTTTTCCCCCCACGATTTGAACCACGCGGCTTATACAAAGATGCAACTGTTCTATGGATTTTTCTTCAGTCGCCAGAGGGCTTTCTAGCAGATGCAAAAACAAGACACACAGGGGAAGTCACGCTAGGTTTTATTTAGCACAAGCAACACAACACACACACAACAGCAAATTATTTTCAAACCCTCACCCACTCATTATGGAAAGCACATGAAGAAGTTCGTATGATGCAGCTTTTAAGTTGAGGGCCATCGATCGGGCTAGCCATGTGGTTTCAGTGCTCAGGAGTAAGATGAACAAAGCTATCAATTACTTTTCTGTTTTGTTCGATCAGCACTTTTACTGCCGTGTTACAGGCACTATTCGGAAACAATCAATTCAGGTATATAAATAAACATTTATGGTACAAAATCTTTCTGTGTTCCTGTGTATCTGGTATATATCTCATTACTCAACCTGGATATCGACGGCTTATAGTCCGGTGCGGCTTATATATGTAAATTTATAGTTGTTTTTCTTTTTAACTTAGTGGGTGCGACTTATATTCAGGTCAGGAAAATACAGTAGTTATATTCCTGCAATCGTGTATATTGGCTGTCAATTATCAGAGTCAGAAACAAAACAAGGATTACTCTTAAGGACACAAAAAAGAAAAGGTACTAGGATTCATTTATAGTCCTATGTCCTGTTTGGTTGATTCAACCTGTTTTGTAAAATTCAACGAATTTTATGGCACAATTACAGTGAAAACACTTGAAATGACTGATTTTTTAATTAAAGAAGAAAAATAACCATTTTACACAAGCACTAAAAGGTTTGTTTTCCTTACCTGATGTTTTATTTGGTCTCCACATCTTGCAAGCAAAGCAACATTTTAAAAACATAAAAAAAAAAAAGAACTTGCACACACACCTTTATTTTTGTATTTCAGTCACATTTACAAATTAGGCTGATTCGTTCGGCAGTCCATGTACATTATATCTTTTTGTCATGTCCGCCTGATCTAACGGGTGTATTTCCAATAAGTGGGAAAAATGTGAGAATCTGTTCTGCTTCATCCAGAGCAAAGGTAACGCAGCATATTGTCCAATGTTGTTAATATTTAACAAGAAACTGGCAAAAAAAACAGAGTGGTTGAAGGACGTGTCAAATAAATACCTTGTAATGATATTGCAAAGGACGTTATGTTTAATTCTTGCTCCCTGCGCAATGCAGTCCCCACTCCTCCCCACACACAAATTCCCCAGACAAATTCTCACTCCTGCCAACTGACCAAAATTGGCAATGCTTGCATAAAGTGGACAGGTTTTTTTTTTTACAGAACTCCCATATAAACACAAAGCTGAGGATGAAGCATTGGTGTGAGTGTGTTGTGTTTTTTTTTTTTTTTTTTTGGTTTGTTTTTTGCATGGAGGGGAGGGGGGGGCGTAAAAATTTTCTTATTTTTAAGAAATGAATTTCTTCAAAGGGATGCCCAGCAGAGAAAGTTTGGGAACCACTGATCTAAACAAAGATATAAAGCAGAATCTAATTTTACATTAGGAAAACTGGTACACCTCAAAGCTACTACTATCTTGACTTATCAACTGTGTTTACTAACTGGAGTTCGCAGAAATAATTCTAAAAATCTTGCACAAGATACAAATGATAACATGAAAAAATATAATCAGACATATATTAAAATAGGTCTCTTTATCTTCGAAGTCATTGTTTTTTGTTTTTATTTTTTATTCTTACATGTACTTTTTTTCCATAGACTAATACATTTCTGATTCTTTATCCTTTCATTAAGTCACTCCCGTGACTTCACAATTATGAAATGCATACACTTCATATTCTAATTGATTTGAGCTGCAATTGTAAAATCTGTCTCTTTTTTTTACCTTTGGCATTGTCGCTTTATTTTCAATTGCTCATAGTTTACCAATGTAGGACAAGGTCACAAATGCATGTCTTGCAAGTTTTCAAACTGAGAGCAGGTGAACTAAGTCACATGAGTTAAAGTAATTAAATAGTAGTTAAATGTACCCCGGTGTAACCACAATGGCCCTGTCCATTCTTTTTGTCTAGAAATACTGACCCCCAGGGTTTCACTTAAGCCCATCTCTAGTTAAATAGATACAATTGAGAGTAATTTAAGGTAAAAAACATAACACGGTAAATTAGACGTTACAGGTGGGGTTAATGGGAAAAGTGTTTAACATGCTTGACCAGCTGTGCTTTAATTGCAAACCGAAAAACATCTGATCATGTAAATTATAGAATGCTTTAAGCAAAGGGTGGAAATCTTCACGAGGTCACAGAGAATAGGAAACAAGGGATCATAAGAATATGGAACTTCCTCGGCGTTTTCATTAACACACTTCTTACAGTGAAATTCTTTCTGCATGGACTGAACCCACTAGCCTAAATGATCCTGGTACAGGCAATACAGTGCTACCAAAATTATTTTCATCCACTGAGTTGTAGGTAACATGGATGGTGCTAGAGCTCAAAGAACTTGAAAAAAAAAAGAAAAAAAAAAGAAAGAAATACTACAAGTGAGAGTAAAAACATGATGAAGGAGCAACTAAAGAATGTGTGGTCCAGGTGACAAGTCACAGTCATCACTAGTGAATGTAGGCTCTGTAGACTGCAGAAATATCATTATCCGACTGGTCCAGTGCTTTAGCCCTTTTGTACACCTGCAATGGGGAAAACAGAAGAACTTCAGTTGAACTAAGTGGAATTTGCAACTGAACAGTGGTACCAAAAGGATAACTAATGCCTAGGCCTTTGCATTACTTATCAGAGAAGTTTTTAGATGGATGGATGGATGATAGGGAGGAAGGAAGGATGGGTAGTGTGGATGGATGGATTTATTTTTAATTTATCAAGTGGTGGGGCACACTCTCTGTCCTTCTGCTCCCAGTGCCCTTCCCTGATAACATAAGTGAGTGTCTGACCGCTGTTGGTCAAACGTACAGTATCATCAACATGGAATACCTAAGATTCTGCCATGTTAACTTCTGGAGAGTGATACAAACAGTAGGGCAGACAGTTGATTACAACGCAGAAATCGACAATTTTCAGACAATGTAAGCCTAGTAAGAGAAGTGTTGTGCAGAGATTGAAAAAATTGTATTCTGATACAGGTAAAATGTCTCTTTCCAGAGAGTAGATTTGTCAACAATCATACATCATATAAACACTCCTACATGTGCATGAATTTGCTATTTAGCAACATAAATGTAAAGCCTAAATCAGCATGTGTTCTCACGTTCAGAGGAAGTCCTGAATGCACTGTTCAATGTGCATGGATTTGCTATTTAGCAACATAAATGTAAACATTTTATAATTTGAAATCGGGGCCGCAGAAGAATTTTAATTAAGTTTTTTTTTTTTAAGTGCTTGAAATTTTAACCTTAAAGATATCCTGGCTGTTCAAAAAAACAAAACAGAAAATACAGCCTTCAAAGCTCTGAACCTGGTTCTTGATGTATGACTTTTTTATTTCAGCTTCAATCAGTGAAACACAAATGATTTTGCTTGGGTAAATTAAAATGAGATTGAGTTGACAAATGTGATGTAATATTTTCATGTTGACAAAATTGACTAAACTAAAAATTATTAATTATAATAATTTTATAATGTAGATTGAACTAAAAATTTAACAAGGGGCTAAATGTATTTTTACAACTAATAGCTTACTTACATGGCATTCTAACACTCAAAACACTGTTTTACTTCACAAAAAATTATAGTGGCGTGTTATATAATTTTATAATGTAGATTGAACTAAAAATTTAACAAGGGGCTAAATGTATTTTTACAACTAATAGCTTACTACGCTATTTGACAAATTGACCAGATAATTCCCACTTCTATCTTCAAACTGTTTATTCTACATACTGACAATTGTCCCTTACTGTATTGGATCTCCAGGAACATGTCCTAACTCCTAGCTGACACACAGCTCTGATTGGCTCACAATGTCCTTTGTTTCTCCTGTTTGCATACGGAAATGGGAACTGATGGGCACTTCATCCAGACAATATATTTTTATATTATTTAATTTTATATTTATTTTATTAACTTCTGACAATACACTCTGTGCTGAAAGTTTAGTGGATATGTGCTTGACTACTAAAATTTGCGCATGCTGCCTGGAAAGATTCTTTAAGGTGTCCAGACAGCATGCAACCATAACATTTTTTTTTAAGGTGGGCTGTTCTTTAATTAAGGAACCGCTTGCGGGTCCTGCTTATTGTAATTATTCTAACTGAATAAGCTAGCTTTTGTTTAAGCTTCTTTTAGCGCTTCTGTCACAGACAACAGAACCGTTTCAATGGAGTGCCAGGTTTTGAAACCAGATTAGTTGGCTTCAAGGAGGTTGTTTTGGGAAAGAAGAAGTCTGCCCTTTCACTAGTCCTAGAAAGAAACAGGAAGGCTGAGACCAGCCAATAGTTCTCCACTTCAGTGGGCATGAGAGTAGATTTTTTTTTGAGCACCATTACACTAGCCTGTTTGAATACAGTAGAAAATACTTCTGATGTTAGTGAAGCATTAATCACATTCATGATTAGTGCTGTGATCAGGGGCTGCAGGGGCTACAGATTGCAAAAGGCTGGATGGTTCAGCCTCTCTGTGACAGAGATAAATGAATGAAACCTTTCTCATTGGCCTTTACAACACAATCCTGGATCCTTATCAGATATGATAA